GTCTGGCTTCAGTAAATTTCCCATGGACTGCATTGTAATACTAAGTAATGTAGGAGTTAACACAGTTGATATGATTTCAAGATATAGGAATTTATCATGTGTTTTTAAACCTCTTTTCTGAAAATAAAATTTTTGTTTTTGTTAAATTGACACTAAGTTTCCAATTAGAACAATAGTCTGATAAAATATCTAATGCTTTTTGAAGACCAGTGTTTGTTGTGGAAAGTAAAACTAGGTCATCTGCATAGAAGAGTGAGCTAATTTTAGTGTCATTTAGTGAAACATGGTCTATTGAACTATCCTGTAATACCGGATTCGGCTGATACCCCGCCCATCCTAAACCCCGTCCATGGGCGATGTTTCAAATAGTGGGCGATGTTTTGGTCCACACATTGCCTGACTGAACCAACAAACATTTTTACAGACCCCAATTTTCCTGTCCGACATCTTGTATTGAGCGCGCTATTTCAAATATGACGCTAAAATAATTCACTGTGAAGCCGAAAAGCATTAAAAACTTCAATAAAACCAATGCTGTATACGAATTGTTGTAGCGTATTATTACACTCGAATAAAGTCTACGCTTGAAAAGATGTTATTTACGAAGTTTAAAATATCCAAGCCTTCCTGGTTCGAGCCTCTTGGTTGTTATCAGTAATGTTTAATCTTTGTCTGTATCGCATTCCAGACAAAATGTCGGTAAACAAGAAATGGGCGAACTAAAATGTCTCCTGCGTTTCACATGCGACATGATTATTAAACAACACAGAGTTAAGCGGTCATGTACATTCTATAAAGCTAACCTTGTACACATAATAGAGGGACTGTGCCCCCAGTTAGCTCTTCGCGTTCATGGTATTTGTGAGAGTTGAAAGATTTTTTGAACACATGACAAGTAACTATATTGATTTACGTACGTTACGTCATGTACGTTCTATAAAGCTAACCTTGTACACATAATCTTGTACTGACGTGTTTTTTCTCCAAAAAAGACGTTCTCTTTCAGTTAACCCCCAGTTAGCTCTTCTCGTTCATGGTATTTGTGGTATTTGTGGTATTTGCTTCGCCGCGAGAGGCGCCCTTTCCTAAAACTTAGTCAGACCAGAGGTCTGGCAAGCGAGACTAGACTTTGACTTGCTTTTCCTTCTTAGTGCATGTTCTTGTTCACGTAAAATGCGACCTCTCACCAATGTATTAAAACACTTTGAATTTATACTTTGCATGATTATATTTGGTCAACGCATTTTTTCTAGACCATTTCTATCAACGCAGGGTTATTTTTTTAGACAAGATGGGCCTCGTAATATCTGCCAAAAGATCGCCCGCGATCTTTTGGTCCACATTTTTCTAAAAAAAAATCGAATCCTCCATAAGATCGCCCAGGGCGGGGTATCAGCCGAATCCGGTACATCATTTAAGTCATTAATATAGATGTTAAAAAGCATAGGGCTGATTACACAGCCTTGTTTTACTCCCTTAGTTGTCTCAAAAACAGAAGAAGTCTTGTTTCCAAGTCCAATCATGCTAAAAAATGTGTACATGCACTCGGACACATTTACAATATACATGCATGAAATGGATGCAATGATCATTATCCCAAAACAACAACTACCGGTAATACATGTAAAGACCACATGATAACAAAACAAGAGATGCTCCATGACAATTGCCTTTGCTTTGCTTCAGCATTGATTGATATAATAATTTTAATTATATTTCTTTAGTTATTTTTATGACAGTAAGATGTCTATTGTCAAAATGATAACATTCTGGTTACAAAGTGAATGCATTTTCAGGGCTTGAACTTTGGAGCTGGAAGGGCACTCATTTTTAAGGCCAAAATGTATAAAATGGCCAGGCTAAAGGACACCAAGGCATTGGGCATCAAGCCAGTTGTCTTCAATGTGTTCATGGAATTCAAGCCCTGCTTTTTTCTTTACATTACTTTCTAGGAACTTTGAGATAAAGTTAGAATGCATCTGTTTGAATGGCGTTTGGTCATTTAGCATGACCTCTGTTCATTCATTCATTCATTCATTCTCTTGCGCACACACGCACGCATGCACGCACACACGCACGCACTCACTCACGCACTCACGCACTCACTCACTCACTCACTCACTCACGCACGCACTCACTCACTCACTCACTCACTCACTCACTCACTCACTCACTCACTCACTCACTCACTCACTCACTAGATTTTGGATTGTTTTTCAGTTTATGATGACACATTGGCTACCCGTTGCAGCAGCTGGTCCTCTTTGGAGAAGTACTTCCAGTTTACTTTTTGTATGTGTTCACTGCATTGGATGGATTGCTATTGTTGGCACTGTTCTCATTGTAGACTACAGTGAATTCCTAGGACTTAAACAGGTCAGTACTGTCAGTCTTTTAAATAAGACATTTGTTGCACTAAATCCCTAATGAGATCAGCATTAATTTTTACCATGCAGATCAAATGGCCATCATATTTTTATGACACAACTTTAGAAAAAAATATGAAAGAAAAATCAGCTCTTAGTTACCAGTTTAAAAAAAAATTATCATTTGCACAAAGTCAGATCATTAAGTTTATGGTATTACTACTCTCCTGTACACATGTGTGATAATGGTGTGTAAACACCATGTTGCAACCTCAAATTAGTCTGATTATTAAATAAAGCAATAAAGCATCATGTATATTAATTAATCCTTTTAAATTTCTCCCAGACTCAGACAGTAAGTGAAGGCAGGGTGGTAGTAGGGATCACGTAACTTGGACGGATAGCTAAATAATAATTTGAGTTTGAATCAGAAACAAACTTCCATGCTGTCTACATAACTTTTAGTTCCACACATGCAAGGCTAAACATTCAGGGAGGCAGTGAAGCAGTTGCCTAGATATGCTTCAATTAAATACCTTTATGCTCTTCAAAATATGTTTTAACCTTCAAATATTGTTTCCTCACGTATAGCCTATATATCCTACCATTGTATTATATTATATATGTATTTCTTTACAACCACAAAGATTATCTTGGCTTACTATAACAGTGATTAAACAAATTATAAACCAAAATACTGCAGTTCATAGTCCTTTAAAATTGATTTTTACACAAGCGATTGAATGGACAAGAATGAAGGATTGTTTCTAGTCCTGAGATTTTGCGGTGTATTTCTTAAATTTACATTGTTTTGCAAGAAAACCAAAACAAAAGTTGTTCGCCTTTCAACAGATTTTTCAAAAACAATTTTTTTTTGGCACGGTACATGTACATGTTATGGGTTGGAAGGAATGGATGAAGGAATGAGTATCCAACAAACTGCTGAACCTATACATAGAAAATATATATTATATTTTACAAGGAGGAGTTGGGTTTTTGTGGTAGCAACAATAGTCTTTTCTGGCCACCACAAAAAGTAACATATTCTCAGGATCATCACATGGAAATTGTATTTTGATCAACCCTCACTTTACTTCTTTATCTCACAGGTTTACTACTACCTGATTGGTCAAGAGTCACCCATTTCCAAGAAATCTCCATCACTGCAAAGATTGTACAGTCACATGAGACATCCGCTATTCACAGGACTGACATTGATTCTCTGGTGCCAACCTGTCATGTCATTTGACCGCTTGCTACTTGCCGTAGTCTGGACGTTGTATCTAGCATTGGGCCACAATCTTGATATACGTGACTACCAGTATTTGAAAGAGCAATTACAAGTAAAGCATCAGAATTTGATGTACCACAAATCATTCCAAACTCTATAAAAAGAAAATATTAAATCATAGACTTTTTTTATTTTTATAGTTATTTATTGCCCTTTAAAATGCCAGTCAGTCTTTTTACTGTATTCATTGATATGTGTCCTATCTGGTGTACACATCTTATGTAATATACACAAAATTCCATCAATTTTGAATATGCAAGACTTAGTTCAAATTGTATTCATGAGCAGTGTGAATTGTACATGTGATTTTTTTACAGTAACAATGACATTGATCTTGTTTATGTAGGAACTAACTCTTGTGCTTGCTGAGGCTAGACTTCCCGACTGACATTTTTAGAATCAAGAAATAAAACTTGATTTCCTTATTTCTGAATTAAAAGCCTATTGTTCTGCAATATTCAAAATGAATACCAGAATGACATAGAAGCTCTGTTTCTATGGAAACATTAAGATACACAAAACTTCAGGGATGTTTTTCTAGTCAATGCAATCTCCACATGTATGTATTCCTAATGTTGTAAAATTAATTGCAACATTTGCACAATGTCCTTATGAGAATAGAATTTATTTTGGTAATGAAGAAATATGCATGGTCGAAATAAATTTACCAATTTCACTCTTATATTTTAATTATATTTATACCACTTTTGGTCATGTGACCCACTTATAATTGATTATTGTAAATCAGAAAATGCATCTTGGCTAAGACTTTGGTGGTTTGGCCAAATTGCAATGTCTGCAATTAACGAGCAGATAATGTTCTTCCTCAACTACTGAAAAAGTTGGCCAATTAAAGAAGTGGTTGAACCCACAATATGAATCACATCAGGTAGAGCCTGTAATATGCTATTGCAATTACTGATGGATGGTCCTGGGAAAAGGGGGCCTTAGAAAGGTCATCTTAAACAAAATGTATATTAATCTATGTTCAGGGTTGTGCAAGAAACAATGCAACTAATTAAACAATTTTATCATATTTTTTTTCATTGTATAAGTTCAAAAGTGTAGATTTACAAATATAAACCTACTTGGTCAGGATCACGTAAATTCAACAAGTGTTTTCTAGTATAGTATTTGTGTCAAGCACAGAAAAGGCTTTATATAAAGTTCTACACCTTTTACTTTTCTAAATGTTATTGTTGTGCTATGTTCTTCTGGGAAAACACCACATATATTACAGGTTTTTGCCACAGTTTGACTGTTTTAAAAATCTGATTGGCAAAGTGATTTCACATCAATAATATACAGGGTAGAAAATAGTCCACACAACAGAGACAAGATTGGGTGTAGTACTATATCATCAATTAGAAGCAAGCTTATTTAGAAATTATGGATGTTCTGTGTTTTAGAATGGATGAACCTCATACATGTACGTCTATGGTATTAATTCCAAATCTGCAATCTGTGCTTTAGATATATGCATATTGTACTGTAAATGTAAATTTTCATTTCAATATTTGTTTTAATTATTTAAAGACACAGTATTTGATGAGAATGCTGAATACAACGGATTATGATTGATCATGATCTTGTACACTAGCACACAGCTGTGTATTCATTCACACGCTGTTTTTTTCTTTGTATGTACAAAAACAATCGCTGTACATGTATATTATTATTGAACGAATACTATGCATTGTCCTGCAAGATAATCATTTTTAGTTTACAATAAGTCATAAGTTGGTCATCAATATGCAGTGTCAACAAAATTGCAAAATATTCATCTATTCATGGAAAAACAATGAATTAATCTCTGCTACAAATTTTTTTTTTGCTTACTCACAAAATATGGCAAACATTACTTGTATTATGTTGTTGCTATTGGTTTTTTTTTTTTTGTATTTTCATTTTTATATACTGTAATCTGAATAAAATGTATAGGTATCATATTTTTTTAGCTTTAATGGATATATCACTGTAAGCTTTTTCAGATCAATTGTATGGTTAAAATAATTATAATTTGGACATAACTTGAAACTGTTTTATTTACTTTGACCTTTGAATCCTTTGATGTATTTTTGAAACTTATATTTTTGTACTTGCACGTTTGTCATTTTTGAAAACTAACTTTGCGCACTCAAAATTATAAAAATCATTTCGTTCTGTTACTATAGCGACATTATGTGCGCACATTTGATTCACATGCCCTTGCAATATTGTATATAATTATCAATTTTCATGTTTGGGGTGGACATTATAAACTTATATCACAGGAATTTGATAACTACTATAGATTGTTTACTAATTCTATTTAGTAATGGCAACTAAGCAATGCTGAGACACATCCCGGAAATCACGTGATCATGCCAACGACTGCAGCGATCGGCTGTCCACGTGTTTACTCTGCCACGCCTTAGAGTTTATGATAGAGTTTGTAGGACTTTGTAAAGACGAGAAGGAGAGAAGCGGCGAGGCGTTACCTCAGTTCTGCATGTTCTATTGGCAGAGCTAAGATCCAAAGCCCGTCGCCATATCATCTCTTTGTTATCAACTCAGGAAAGCATATACTAGTGATAAACTATAAGATACCATGACATAAACCCCCCACCCGCTAATGAGTCATCTTCTCAACATTAAACCAATCATGTCACCTTTGGGTGTGTCATTCTAAATTATCGAAGAACTTGTTATTGGGATATAACCTTACAACTTTTTGGTTACCCAAGATCTGCGTTAGATCATGGACGTACTAGAGACTAGTACGTCCATGGTTAGATCTAGTCGACCAATTAAAGCTCGCCTGGGTAAACACTGGCTTCAACTACCATTTTTTTGTTTTGTTTGTCTTTTCTTAACGAAAACTCGGACAAAAATTATGTACTTGACACTTTCTTTAGTATCATGGATCTCGTTATAGCGGATCTAGCACCTCGGATTTTTTACGCATCGCATGTAGATTTGAAAATAATAAAAATATGAAAAACGACAATTTAGCTCTTCAACCTGCTTCTCTACCCTAAGATCTACAATCAGGGTCTGGTGTAGCTGTGGAATCATAGCCCTATGTTGCCGACCGCATTATTTACGTGACTGACTCTGGCCGGCCCATAGGGCTATGGGGCCTTGTGCGACTGAATACCGGTTAAAATCCACATGCCAAATTTGGTCGTCGCGAAAATCACATTTTAAGACCTTCGAAAGTACTCACTATGTTTATTTACTTCCAAACAATGACCAGAACCTATTTGCGCTGTGAAATGATGACGGTGGTCATAAAAAATTGACTTTATTTACCGTACACCGAGTCGCAGAAAAATAACAAGACGAAAGACGCCATTTTGTATTCCAGAGTTTATAGCAAATTACGCGAGACCTATAATTTTGTACCACGTGACCGAAATCAGTAGATAAATTGCGTTTATGCAACTAGTTTCTATTATTAAACAAAAATCATAAAATTATAAATACTGTATGTGATTGCTTTATTGGAACAATTAGAATAACGGGAAGAGTGAGTTTTATTCTTCCACCACTGTATCAAATGACCGCCAAACGAGATTACATTTATTCTGTGCTAGGGAGTGTGGGATGTCAATGGCTGCCGTTTTTCTCGTAATTTGCTTGGTTTCCGCGGTAATTGTAAAATATCACAAATTATTGCTTATTTATAAACACAAATTGCAAACAAAAGTTTGTATGTTATTCATCCAGCAATTAATTCACAATAAAGGTACGTCACACCATAGTAATCGAAAGCAAAAGCGATTTAATTTACGTATGCCAGATTTCTGTTTTTAAACTGTGATAGATCCCGTAGCTCTATGTTCGAC